TTGTGCTTGAAGGTGTAAGTTGGGATGAACTGGCATGAGTTAAAAAAACTATTTTCATATTTTATAAAAAACACTATATTTCCCTCCTGTAGCAGCTAACCTAGGTACTTGTTGTATAATGTTTTTTTTTATAAATGTTATTTAAATATATTTAATTGAAAATCCAATCGGGCAAATGAGAAATCGTATATGTAGAGCTAAAAAAATTATATTGAAGTGTTGTTTTACAACTAAAGGTAACGGAGAAAGCTTGAAAAGAAAAAAAATATATTTGAATTATCTTTGTTATTGTTATGGAGATGTAGTTTACTTGTTTCTCTATGTTGATAATATTTGATTAATTGATTTATTTCATCCTTGACAATAAACGTTCGTTAAAAACACATTTTACCTTCGTAGCAGCAGAACTAAACACTCTTTAAATCTAACTTTGTTTACGCTATTATTTTGCCCGTGCCGAGGGCAGAATATAAATATAAATTAATACTAGGGTGGTCTGCTGTTACACTTTAGACGCATAAATGAGCTAAGCATTATTTAAAGATTGTCAATGGCTAAAGCAGCTAACACCCTTCAATATGTTCCCTTTCAACAGATTCACCGTTTGTTTGTTCGATATTATTTCAATTCTAAAGAATGACAAATTTATCTGATAGTTTATACTGTACCTTTGTAGTGAAATTGGCCATTCTGACCATTTGCTTGTACTTTGTAAATGGGCATAGCAGGATGTACTCGTGCAATCAACATTTGTTCTACAATCGTCAGGTCAGTTAATTCGTTCGGGACACTTGACACATCCATATTATTTAACACCGTGAATTTAGTTGCATTTGAACGACAACGCGAACAAATCGGTGATTGGTTTGAAGCTGTTAGTTGTTGGCGTTGACAGTTAGTGCAAGTGTAAAATTTTAGTGCATCTAATTTATGTTGGAATTGATTAGCTAACTGCCTATCATTATCAGCTTCTTCCGCCACTGCTTCATCTGGTTCTTCTTGTTCACGACGCCACTCTCTTACAATATTTGCATTATCGGTGCAACGACCAATATTACGACGTGGCCTTTGAGGCATGCTCAAAACAAATATAGCAAAACTGTTACTTCCATTGATAAACTGTTACATTCCAACTTTAACCTAGAATAAAGTAAACATTGAAATGTAAACAAAAAAGTTACAAACAATTAACATATGTTTATCTTATTTAAATGAAACGAATTAAAGCCATGTGTCATAAGCCCAATATAATTGTTCTTTTAACTTACATTAAAATAACAAGCGAAATTGCGTGACCCGTAAAATAAAATCCAGAAGGAAATTTGCAAATATTTTTTTACCAAAACATTGTGCTCAGTATTCTTCAGCTGTTGGCCAAATTTCATATCAATTGGTCAAGCCATTACATTCTGATGCCCTTACAAAGAAGTTACAAAGTGAGGGAAAGTGAGCTTCGCTCAATAAATTCCCCAAGGATGTATATCTCTAATTTTACTGTTTGATGTCTTTTATGTGTTCGTAGTAATATTAATTTAACTTAGCTGGTGAGCTTTGTAATATATTATATATTTAACAGTTTTGCCAAATAACTGTAGGCCTAATAGATATTTACATTACAAGTGTAGTAAGAGCGTTTTTACATCACGCAGGTACATGTTGTGCAACGAGCGGAAGCGAGTTATATTTCTCCTAAGTGATCCTCTTCTATAGCGGGTTTAGGGAAGTTGTAAACAAGCTCTTGCGTAAAAGCCTATGTCCCACGGAGCGTTGCGCGGCGCGCAAGGCGCGAGGCGTGCCAAACCTCGCGCCGTGGGACAGGGTAAGCGCGTGATGCTACGCGCAAGAGTGGCGCGGAGCGGGGTTGCGCGTCCGTTCCCGTGAGTTGTCGGTAAACATCAAAGGCGCGGGTTGGAGCGTGGACGCCCTGGGCCAGTACGAGACGTTTTTCCACCGGGTGAACGTTGAACTTGCAGTTATTCAGCAAATGTTGGTGCGAAACTTTTGTTGTATGCATCCATCCACCAACGCCGCTATTGTTTTCTTTGAATTCAATTTTAACTTCAAACAATCACCACTCAACAATAGATAACTGTGGCGCACAGTAATTCACCGTCACTTTCCAAATCACTCATCATTAAATCACACAGATCTTTACAAATACAGTGTAGCACGGAGGTCTCTATGAGGTTTTAACACTATCCACTACGGCCTCTAGACGGCGAGTGTCGCGGCACGACCCGCGCCGTGGGACAGGTCTTGCGCGGACCTAAACGCGCACAGACGCTCCAGCCCGCGCATTTTCACCGTCGCGTGGAGCGCCGCGCAACGCGTCGTGGGACATAGGCTTTTTAACGTGTAACGTACAACATTTTACCTGACCCGACAAAATACAGAAGGTTACAAACAATATTTTTCATTATCCATTTCACTCATCTTACAGTAACGTTCATTACAAACAAAAGCTAGGTTAGGAAAATTCTTCAAAGTATAACAATAAAATTCAAGCGCACAGCTGATTTCTAGCGTTGAACGTCGTTGGCTCCATAGAGGTATATTTTTTTACCTAACCCGCCATGTTAAACTTCCCTATCCTAAGCGTGATGTATACAACTTCCTTACTTCTCGAGTGATGTAAAGTATCAAAAAACTCACTCGGTGATGTAATGAAACCCATTTAAATAACATTGAGTGGATAACTTAAAAAATATGACTCTATGGAGCCAACGACGTTTAACGCTAGAAATCAGCTGTGTGCTTGAATTTTATTGTTATTGTTATGTTTTGAAGAATTTTCCTAACCTAGCTTTTGTTTGTAAATGAACCTTACTGTTATAAGATGAGTGAAATGGGTAATGAAAAATATTGTTCGTAACCTCCTGTATATTGTCGGGTCAGGTAAAATCTTGTACGTTACACGTTACGCAAGAGCGTGTTTACATCACTTAGGTAAATTATGCAACTTTCACCTGCGTGATTTAAAAACGCTCTTACTACACTTGTAATGTAAATAGCTATAAGTTAAGCATTCAATGTTGTTTATGGGTTTCATTACCTCACCGAGTGAGTTTTTTCAACTTTACACCACTCGTGAAGTAATGAAGTTGTATGCATCACGCTTGGGATAGGGAAGTTTAACATGGTGGGTTAAAAAAGTATAAACTCTCGTGTAATATAAATTTCTTAACATTCAAGTTTTTTAAGACATGCAACAGTTTAGAACGTCACATGTAGGCCCTACATACTTCACATATACTTAAATTGTTTTAAAATAGTTTTGCAAGGGTCATCAAAACGGGTTGACACTGATAATTATTATTCATATCCTTATTCCGTTAAAAATAAATAGAATTTCCTTCAAATGTTCATTATTTGTTTATAAACAGTATATCAGTAGTTTTGCTCTGTTTTCATGTCAATTCCTGTAAATAGTTGTACATTTTTAGTTTTACCGTTTCACGTCTTTTTATGTGTAAGTCAAATTCAAAATTCAAATTCAAATTCAAATTGTTTATTTGGCCATTAAACATACATAATAGGCTATGTCAATACATAATTCAACAAAATAAAAATAAAACCATCGTCAGAGATTGGTTAACAATAAAATCAAACCATGCTTGGTACTATTAGTCTATCTAAACTTATGTAATCATTATATATTTTTTAGTAAATTAGGCTATTATTTTTCACGACTTTATTATTGTATATGACCTAAACGTTTCATACATAATAGTGTTTACTCGAACATTAGTATTTTAGATATATAGATAGATAAAAACTAAATAAATATTTCATTAACAATCAGCAAGCAAAGCCCTCGGTCGATATCGAAGCATGAACAGTCCTAAACAGATCCGAGGTATGGTAACTACATTTTTGCTGGTTTTTACGTACTTGATAAGCATACTCACAGCAGAACCCTTGAGATCTTTGTATGATATTATTGTGTAGATATAGTACAGTGTGTCAGTTGTTGTTCGTGTGGAAGAGGCGTTAACATTGGTATTTTATTTATAGTTGATTGTTTATTTTTCTCTTTTGAATTTTTCCAGTCGTTTAATAGATTTTCATTGGAAGACAGATTTAAATCTCAATGAAGTATTAATTCTGATATTTCAACAAGGCTGATTAAAATACATAAACCAAAGATAGGCTACATTGCTTGAAAAATAATTCCTCCATAGTAAATTGTGCATATAGTTAAGGCTGTAATGCAACTGAAACGCAAAATAATTTATTTCCAACAGTATAACCCCACGTGTGGGGTATTTCAGTGACCTGCGCGTTAATCCTCTCTTTTCTGGAGTTGCCAGAGAGTCCCAGCGCTAATGAGGGGTATCCCTGGGACCCTGTGACCGCACTCGCTCAAATATTTTACGACCAACCCTTGTCTGGGTTGCCCTGGGACCCTCTGACCTACAACCTATTTATTTTTCTCAACATTAAATGAGAAACTATTTAAACGTTCAATTGTTAGTAAAATACTTACTACGTGTCACTTACTTGGAACATGTTATAGTTAATTGTAGCCTATTTTGATAGTTTATTTATGCAATTTTTTTACTTAACAACCCACGACACCGTACTTGATTAATTAGTTTCAATTTTTGAAACTGTGATTTACTCATAAAATTACAGAAAAATTTAGTTTCTCACAAAAATGGATCGAACAATTTTGATTAAAATTTAGGATGGCGTGGTCCGTTTAACTCTAAACAAAATGGTACATCCCCAATGCAGTAAAAGTTACGGCTCAAAAGTTATTGCAACTTTTGCATTTTCCCCTTATCATAGTTACTCCACCGCTTATCCATGATATGGATTGTTGACAGGGGAAATTATTTGGGCGTGTCATATTGCTGAAACGTTTATTCTCAATACATTTTTGTGGTAATTTGGAAGCCAGCAGGGATATTTGTTCGATGGTCGTTTGACAGTTGGCACACCTGTCCGCCAACCGTCCAGGTAACCGTACCAACCTAACCAACCAGTTAGTTGTGTTGTGTTGGTGTTGGTGTTTGTGTCTGTCAGATTTTCTCCAGTGTCCAGTTTCAAGGTTTAGCAACAGGTTTTATTGTGTTTTTAACCTTAGTGCTTCAATTCCTTTTCCAAAGTGCCTTCATCCCCCAGCCCTTGACCTTCAGGTGCCAATGTTCAAACATTCTTCGTGAATCACTGGTTGCTGTTGCTGGGTAGTCACGTCGTAGTCACTTCCGTTATCTTCCGCTGAATTTAAAATGTTAAATAACATTTTGTATCCGTAGATAAGTATTTATTCGAGGATATAACGAATAGTGTATACACGGAAACAGGTGTTATACATTCTTACATAAGTTTTTCGCTTTTTTGTCATAACTTAAGTTTAATGTCAAAACATTTAATTGAAGGTTGTGATAATATCTTTTGTAATCAAATCAAATCAAATTGTCTTTATTCACTTTATACATTTATATATTTTGTACATGAATAGTGTCAAAGCATACAACAGGTATACAACTTAATCTAAAAGACTTAACCATAAATTTGACAATTATTTTAGAATGGACAGCTAATTCATTTTTTGATCTATACACTCATCTATACTATAGGGAGCCAGATTAATTAAGAACGATTTTAGCTTCAAAAAATTGGGTTTGTTTTGATCTTTTTTTAGTAAGGCAGGCAAACCTTATTATGAATAAATTGCTAATATACGAAGGCTTCATTTTTGAAAGTTTCAGACGATGATGACATTTTACAGTAAGATTAAATTAGCCCAACCCTTGAACGAATTAAACTAAAAATCCCTTAACTTTGCACTTTCTCCCCCTCCCTGACCTTTCTGATATTTTTTATCCTCGGCTTTTAATCCTCGTAAACAGCTTAATGTGCTATTGGCTGTTGATTCGACTTAATCTCTCGTTTTATCTTAAGGTGATATGGACTTGTGATAAATACACAATACCCTCATTAATCAGAATCTCACTACAAACTATGCGTTAATCCGGACGGCCATTGGACAGCTGCTTACAAAAATTACATAGTCAGAATCAGCTGTTTTAAACAGGTGTTAAGAATAAGCTTTTGTAAATTGTAAATAATTGTTTTGTTGCATATATTCAACAGTAAATTATAGTTGCTTACTCTTCTGCTTTTAAAAATCCTAATACACCATGCAAGCTTTTTTATGCCAATGTAGTTTTATAGTAAACAAGAGGACCTGAACTTTCACCGAGTCCTATTGTCGTCGTGGTAAATTAGTTTTATTTTATTCCAACCGGGCTTTAATTGACACGATAAGGACAACTGGATCAGTCAGAATGAGGCGTTTCTGAGCATCAGTTGGTACCCTGTAATTAGAGATCGGAACTTTACAACAAGGAAACCTTGATTCTAAGAAATAAGTAGCGTCATATCGTTCATTCAAAACATGTTTTGTTATGTCACAATAGTAACTAGGCCTAAGTGTACTTAATATTTCTCTGGTATGATCACTTTTCCACATAATATTTTGCAAAGCATGAAGCACAGTTTTGAACTTGCTCTAAGGTTAGCAAGATTAGGCTAAAAGTTGTCATGAAGATCTACATTAGTCGTGGAATGTTTGCAAGTTGTTGACAAGTGAAGGGTTTGTGTTGTAGACAATAGTATCGTGCGCTATTAGCATTACAACACAACGGTAACTACTCGCATTGCATGGTCACTGAATGTCTGTTGAGTCATTAGAGTAATTGTCGAAGTCTGAAAGAAAATGGGAGTTTGCATTACTTTTCTTAATTTTCGTCATTTCCCTCTATTCCACTTTATCATGATGGTTTTTCACTAATCTTTTACATGTCCTTGTTATGCTGGAAAAGATAGAATTTAATGAATACGTAGGGTCTACGATATTTTCTCGCGTGACGCCTCCTTCGGTGGAAATCACCGGCCGAAGATACTGGTGGATTGGTTATAATTATAAAAGTTGACTATCGAAGTGAACATTAAACATATTCGCTGATCCGACGACTAGTTTATCTCACCAGTGTTGCCTTTGTAACGGTATGTGGGTGTCCTGGTTCGTGCAGTGACTGGGCGGCAGTTGCACAATGCTAATGTACAGCTGCTGACGTACCTCTAGTGCAGTGTCTGGGCGGCAGTTGCACAATGCTAATGTACAGCTGCTGACGTACCTCTAGTGCAGTGTCTGGGCGGCAGTTGCACAATGCTAATGTACAGATGCTGACGTACCTCTAGTGCAGTGTCTGGGCGGCAGTTGCACAATGCTAATGTACAGCTGCTGACGTACCTCTAGTGCAGTGACTGTGCCATAGTTGCACAATACTAATGTACAGCTGCTGACGTACCTCTAGTGCAGTGACTGTGTTACTGTTGCACAATGCTAATGTACAGCTGCTGACGTACCTCTGGTGCAGTGACTGTGTTACTGTTGCACAATGCTAATGTACAGCTGCTGACGTACCTCTAGTGCAGTGACTGTGTTACTGTTGCACAATGCTAATGTACAGCTGCTGACGTACCTCTAGTGCAGTGTCTGGGCGGCAGTTGCACAATGCTAATGTACAGCTGCTGACGTACCTCTAGTGCAGTGACTGTGCCATAGTTGCACAATGCTAATGTACAGATGCTGACGTACCTCTAGTGCAGTGTCTGGGCGGCAGTTGCACAATGCTAATGTACAGCTGCTGACGTACCTCTAGTGCAGTGACTGTGCCATAGTTGCACAATACTAATGTACAGCTGCTGACGTACCTCTAGTGCAGTGACTGTGTTACTGTTGCACAATGCTAATGTACAGCTGCTGACGTACCTCTGGTGCAGTGACTGTGTTACTGTTGCACAATGCTAATGTACAGCTGCTGACGTACCTCTAGTGCAGTGACTGTGTTACTGTTGCACAATGCTAATGTACAGCTGCTGACGTACCTCTAGTGCAGTGACTGTGTTGCTGTTGCTCAATGCTAATGTACAGCTGCTGACGTACCTCTAGTGCAGTGACTGTGTTGCTGTTGCACAATGCTAATGTACAGCTGCTGACGTACCTCTAGTGCAGTGTCTGGGCGGCAGTTGCACAATGCTAATGTACAGCTGCTGACGTACCTCTAGTGCAGTGACTGTGTTACTGTTGCACAATGCTAATGTACAGCTGCTGACGTACCTCTAGTGCAGTGACTGTGTTACTGTTGCACAATGCTAATGTACAGCTGCTGACGTACCTCTAGTGCAGTGACTGTGTTGCTGTTGCTCAATACTAATGTACAGCTGCTGACGTACCTCTAGTGCAGTGACTGTGCCATAGTTGCACAATGCTAATGTACAGCTGCTGACGTACCTCTAGTGCAGTGACTGTGTTGCTGTTGCTCAATACTAATGTACAGATGCTGACGTACCTCTAGTGCAGTGACTGTGTTGCTGTTGCTCGATACTAATGTACAGATGCTGACGTACATCTAGTGCAGTGACTGTGCCATAGTTGCACAATGCTAATGTACAGCTGCTGACGTACCTCTAGTGCAGTGACTGTGTTGCTGTTGCTCAATACTAATGTACAGATGCTGACGTACCTCTAGTGCAGTGACTGTGTTGCTGTTGCTCGATACTAATGTACAGATGCTGACGTACCTCTAGTGCAGTGACTGTGTTGCTGTTGCTCAATACTAATGTACAGATGCTGACGTACCTCTAGTGCAGTGACTGTGTTGCTGTTGCTCGATACTAATGTACAGATTCTGACGTACATCTAGTGCAGTGACTGTGCCACAGTTGCACAATGCTAATGTACAGCTGCTGACGTACCTCTAGTGCAGTGACTGTGCCACAGTTGCTCAATACTAATGTACAGTTGCTGACGTACCTTCTCTGTACTGCAGTGATGTAGTGTAGTGACTTAATCATGCAGTACGCTTATTTACCTATTTTTTTATACGTTCAAGTTTGTATTTCCTCTCCCGATTTAAAATCGAAGTTTACATTGCCAGCTGTTAGGGTTTCACCATCTTATCAAAGTAGGATAGCATCAATAGGTTTAATTCTTGTATAAAGTTTTGCGCGTTGAGTTCCAAACATCACAGAATGTTTTTATACGTCGTCTACGTGCGATTTTGGATTTCAAACAAATCGAAGCCGCGTACATACCGCCCAGCACTGTTGTATTTCGCTTGTGCGTATTGTATTTCCCCTGGTCACCTCAGACCACCGGAGTGACCGGACCATGCTAGGAGCGGCTCAGTCACACAGCGGCAGAGTTCACCGACCTCGCCGTGCCTTGCGCTGACTGCTGCGGCAATGCAGATCCTCTCCGAATAGCAATGGCAATCACTTCCTTCTTGAACATACGTTGTGTTGTGAGCCAGACATCTCGAGAAACTTGATGTTTTTGCGACGGCGAATTTACAGGAGTAAAAACTATGGGCAACTTCCAGGACGAACAAATAATGCAGCTTTTAAATGTTTTCCGATACCCTTGGGAAGATGTAAATTAGGGATGGGTATAAAGTGGTATGTTATCTATAGGACAGACTAGTGAGTCTACTGTTGTGCTGTATTACCGCCAGGATGATTTTGTAGCGGTGATAAAACGTTACTATACGTTACCTCTATGACGACCCAGTATGGTCTATAGTTTTGATAAACATGTTATCGTTACCTCCAGGAAGATTCAGTATTGTAGTGATAAAACGTTATACGTCACCTCCAGGTCGATTCAGTATTGTAGTGATAAAACGTTATGCGTTACCTCCAGGACGATTCAGTATTGTAGTGATAAAACGTTAAGCGTTACCTCCAGGACGATTCAGTATTGTAGTGATAAAACGTTATGCGTTACCTCCAGGACGATTCAGTATTGTAGTGATAAAACGTCATACATTACCATTACCTCCAGGAAGATTCAGTAATTGTAGTGATAAAACGCCATATGTTAACTCCAGGAGTCATACGTCACCTCCAGGTCGATTCAGTATTGTATTGATAAAACGTCATACGATAATTCTAGGAAGAATTCAGTATTGTAGTGATAAAACGTCATACGTCACCTCCTGGACGATTCAGTATTGTAGTAAAAAAACTTCATAAACGTGACAAACTTCCAGGAAGATTTCGTTGTAATAATATACCATGGTAAATTATATTGTTAAGAAAACATATTTGTCATTGAATGTCTTTATATTTTTTGCTATACTATTCTTTTTGTTAACATTTTACCACCGTACCACCAATACAACGTAATTGTTATTCTTTAATTTTCTTGGGAAGGTAGTTAACCTTGGATAATTACATCGATTCAACAATTAAGACGATTAATGGGATCCAAACTTTAATTGACAGCCGAGGCGTCTAGGGAAGATTACACGTGAAACAGTGTAATATATTCTAATAATATTCATTGTGGCGGTTTATTGACATTACTTTATTTATGTTTTCCGATATTCCGAATGTTGTTTGAGTCTTGTATTCGACATGATTGTTGGCACCTGAAATCCTGAAGAAGAAACTGTTATTCCTCCCTTGTCACAGTTTCTATTAGTTTAACAATACTTTGACAATATTGGCTTGTTTAAATATCGATTTGGGACAGTAGGTTATTTGCGACCTCCAATTATTTGCTCGTTAGGATGGATTGATAGAAAATTGGTTTCTAAAGACCTCTTTCTTTGTTACTCATTTTTTAAGCTATTTATAATCGTTTACATAAGAGATCATTGTTGTGTAAACGTTTATTGAACAATTTCGTAAAGATTTCTGAAATATTTTCAAATTAAATTGATACGACTACCCTTTACATTGTTCACTGGGACTATTCTATGACTGTCCTCTTCAGCATCTTCCCTTTATCCAAACCTTTCCTCCATCTTAAATTACTTTGCAGCTCTCTTCGCGATGACGCATCGTCCATGAAAAATGGCCGACACCATCATCGAGATCACGAACAAAGAGTGAGTTGTCTTCTTCTATCATGAAGTAGTGTTGAGGTTAAACATGTTTCTATACATTTGTTTTCGATAATATACGAGGATAATTAATCATTCGAATGTGTTGTTATTGGACAGAGGATTATTGCGAGAGTTTACCGTAATTGATCGGTAAAAAACTTTTTGATTATTGACATAACTATAAATTCATCCTTAATTTTTAAGTTGTTGCCAGTTGTAGAATAAAAATGTTAAATTAAGCCCCTGACAGAGGGAGTTGATGTTAATCATTACTTCAATACTTTTCGATGTAATGGCGACCATACAAAGTAGGTATTTTAAGCCAAGTATGAATGGAGATGAGTGTAGGATGAGAGTGGCGCGATCTTGTAGTCTTGTTAGTGACTAAGGCCGACTTATTCCTTAGACACAGCTGTTAATTAATAGCCCATACAGCTAATGGCAACTAAGGGACCTACAGTTTATAGTGGAATCCGAACCACATTTTCGCCTTGGTAAATACGAATTGGTCTAATTATCAGGATAGTACTGCGGATAGTCGTAGTACTCACTCGTGCGGACGTTAATCCACACCAGGGAGTATCGCATCCACAGTGCATGCCTATAAATATCCACAATTCGTGATCTCCTAGTAGCTGGATTACAGGACGACGCCACCCGTCCCAGTCATTGATTTCTGTTGAATTGAGCAACTCCTTGACCAAACCAATTTTAAAGGAAAACTGATTGCAAGCTAGCCTATATTATTTTAGCAGCTTGTCACAGTAAGATAATACACTATATGGAATGGTGGGTATAGAATTTTAGCAATATGAGATTCTGTGACTGACTCGGAGATAGTATTAGTTTTCGTCAAAATAGTTTGTGTTTTGGGTTGATACATCCATTTTGGGCCCCTCTGAACTTGAAAAAGTGGTTTCAAAGTGATGTCTGTTTGTATATGTGGATGTGTGTGTACAGAGCTACAGACCACACCTGTGGTCCAAATATTGATTACTTATTGGTGTGTGGGTATCCGTGGTATCTTTTGGCGTATATTCATTTTACATAACTTTGGTTTTAGTGGTGATTTTTTCCACCGTAAAAACGGAAAATCTGATTTTAAAAATGGCTATATGTTACAGTCCTTTAAACAAAATGGTAGAACCCCAATTGCTGTAAAAATTACGGTTTAAAAGCTGGTGAAACTTTTGTGATTTTTCTTAACATATCATAGTGACCCACACAGCTTGTCCATGATAAGGGTTGTTGACCCTTATCCAATTTGATTACTTTATCCAATGGGATAAAGTATGTGTCATATTGCTGATACCATCGAATATGTAACACTTTATTCAAGTGTTATATATAAAAGTGTAATATATTCAATGCTGATACACTTTATTCTGAAATTTGGCGACAGCTGGTTCATATAGAATGCCTATTGCAGTATCCAAGTCAATAGTGAAACAAGCTTCGCATCGACTCTGGAATCTGCATGACAATTTTGTCCTGTATTTGGCCTATTTTGTTCTGCTATTCCCTCTCTGTTATTCTCCGCTGTCTAATGTCTGCCCTCGCTGCCTCCTGCAACATACAATGGCACATTGTCTGCAGTTGGAGAATGGAGAATGGACGCCGCCCAGGGCCCCTCGCCTGTCGTTGAACTTTCAATGGATCTTCTGCTGTTTTTGCGCCTGTCTGTACAATTATACCTTTTCACGCCTGTTAAGCTGTAAAAAGATTAGTCATTTTACGGGTGTTTACATCAGTAAACTTATGTACTCGTTAACACCTAATGTCATTTAACTGACATTTTTGAAGATTACAAAAAATTAAAATCCAATGAGGATGGAAATTTGCTTAGGTTTACTGCGACGGGGGTATTTTTCTTGGAACAGCCATGTCTATGTTTTCAAATATCTGAACACGTTTATGATGTTCTCGTGGTTATGTGAGTAGCTATGGTGCCTGGTGACCAGCTGGTTGCGGGTTCGATCCTGAGAAGTGATAAATAAAGTAGCTTTTTGATGGTTTGAAACTGGACCCAGCTGTCCCTGATCATTAGGCTGTTGATGAATGGTGATCCTGACTAATGAAACCTCTGATCTTAGCCAAAAGCTATGCATATCATCTCCCTCCAACTTCGCCTTGTATATCCAGCAAAATACACTTTGATTCCGTATGTCACTTTCAAGCATGACTCCCTCTGAAGTACACAAAATTGGACGTAGTTGCATTGAGCCTCCGGAAGAGTTCGTTGATGTGTTAAGATTTCTGTCGAGTACGCCAGCTTGTTAACAAAGTCAAACTGCTTCAACGATTTTATAGTATCGCATATTTTATGTCACATAAACTTTAAAAAAAAAAAAAAAAAAAAAAAAAAAAAAAAGTAAGGGAGGAAATAGTCTGTAGTGTTCTCAGTAAATGGATCATTCAACTTTGCTCTTCCTAAATAAAAACATAGGTCCATCGAGATTTCTACTCCAGCATCCAAAAGACAATGGTTACACCTTACACCATTCGCACTACCCACTACAGGATGAGGAGTCTAAGTATCTATAGTCAATGATGTAACGCTTGGCCAGCCGTAGTGACGTGGTATCAGCTAACGCCTCTTGTCACCTTGATATTCCTGATAGCCCTTGTCCATTATCATGTCACGTACCCAAGATAGCTGACAGAATCCTGCTTTCTCCCATGTCTCTAGTTCGCCCATTGTCCTCGTACTTTCCTCTCTTGTATGCTGTTTTTGAACAGGTTTTCAGGAAATATTTGCATTTCACTTTAAATACATTGATAAAGCAATTACAGCTGTTTTCATTATCTGTTGCAAAGTAGTGATTTTTACTAGCTGGGATTGAGGAAAGCAGCTGTACATTTTCCCCCAACTTAGCCTACTACTAGTACTAGTAAACAGCTGTGCTTCAGTGTTCTACAAGATTCTGTCATTGTGTAGGTGAAGTCAAAATCATGTTGTGTATAATCATTGGTTCAATCATACATAAAACCATAGACAAAAAGAATAGACAAAGAATAGACAAAAAATATAGACTGTCAGCTGTGCTGCGGTTACCATAGGTTCCTACGCACACCGCTGGGGGCGCCATGTAGTCACGGCGTACGCGCTACGTAACTACACTGTGCTCCCAGCGGTGTGCGCCAGAACCTATGGTAACCATGGTAACCGCAGCACGGCTGACAGTCTATATTTAATTCTTTTTGTCTATGATAAAACGTACTCCCTTCTCAACCGTAGAGTTCTCAACCTTATGGAACAGCCGAAGCCAATTTTATTGTTAGTTCCGTCCAGTACACTGTAGAGATCATGGTTTGCTTACAATTTGTTTCTTGTTATTTCAGTTATTTAAAACCCAATTTAGCCAAGCACTAATCATGAAATTAAATCTAAATTAATAGAACAAAAATGTCGACGACACTACAGTGTCACCGGACATGGACTACATACGAAAAACGAGCTTCAAAATGCACAATTGGATGAGAAGTCTACTTGTGTTGGTTAGTCTAGTTGCTAGTAAACAGCTGTGCATCAGTGTTCTGTACGATTCTGTCATTGTGTGGGTGAAGTCTGAAGTCGTGCTGTGTAGAATGTAGATAGTGCCGAAGTCGTAGAGACCCTTGAGACCACCCAACGTTCGTGAGATTAGTGACGTCAGCGCCCGCCGTAGTCATTGTTGTGATTGGAAATTAGCAATCGTAATCGAAAACGAATTGTGTTTATTTGAGAAAACGATTGTACCTTCGTCGGCGTGTCTCGTAGACTAATCAAACTCTTGTAGTCCTTAGCTGCTTAGCTTCAAGGTTCTGGCGCACACCGCTGGGAGCGCCGTGTACTACATGGCGCTCCCAGCGGTGTGCGCCAGAACCTATGGTAACCGCAGCACAGCTGATGGTCTATATTTAACTCTTTTTGTCTATGTTAAGATTAGCTGGACATTTTTTAAGTTCCATCCGGTTCATAGAGAAGGTCGTTTTGTTTTATTTGTTAATATTAATTATTTTTCCTATGCTGATCCATAAAGATTATAAATCTACAAGGATGTTTAATCTATGAGCTTTGGAACATTCTAAATTCAAATACAGCAAACGAGTCAAAAAGGAATATTCTATAAAATAAAGGTTTTCCCTGTTACACCCTTTTCCCACCCGTCATACTTGACCGATTTTTACGATTGAGGTGTCATTTGAGCTTATTTAGCGCACCTGCGAGTGGTCACTGAAAGGTTAATTTCCTTTAGGGCTTCGCCCCCTCATGTTTAATTTATTTCTAGAGTCCACTTTCAAAGATACAGTTTTGCTGACAAATTTTAATAGACAGTTGTTCCTTCCGTTCAAATTGTAAACAAGTGACTAAACAGTTTATGGAAATGTATTAAAAATGGGCTACTTTTTTCAACTGTGACCTGATTTAGGTAAATCGCTCTTTATAGAGATCTAAAATCCAAAACTTGTAAATTAGTAGTTCTATTCACCTGATAGCTGCTCTAAACGGTACTTTGGTATTATTCCGACCTTACGTAAATTGGTTACCCGTAGGTTATATTCCGTTTATCTTATCTCCTAACCTAACCTAACCTAGGTGTGTTAACCTAATCCAATTTAGATGTGGTCGGTATAATACCAAAGTACCTTCTAAACTAAATAAGCTTGAAAAGGTAGTTGCAATGGTTATTGTACTGGAACTGTTTTGCCTCGGATGCAAGTTTTTGACCAAATTAAATTTGCGTTGTTCCTTTCGTAATCTCAAAGAAATAAGCGTGCTCTGTTCTTTTTGTCCCGTACCCCCTGGAACCCCGTGGTACTCCTGTGGTCGGTGTTGGTAGTAGTGAGTGTCGCGGGGTCAGGGCTATGTCAGAGCGGGGCGTGTGCCGACTGCCCATTATCCCCACACGTGCGAGGTTCTGCGCCTCTAGGCGTGGGTCGCCGGACCTGGCTATAGCCACAGTCCCGGACCCTGGAACCCCGTGGTAATCCTGTGGTCGGTGTTGGTAGTAGTGAGTGTC